CTCCAGGATTGGCCCCATGCAGATCCATGTGCATCTCACAGACACGCCAAAGCACAGGAGGCAAGCTCAAAACTGGACATGTGCAAATGCGAATCACAACATGCAACACTTGCGTTCAGGCACTTGCGCACACAAGCCCAGTGCCTGTCGCCACGCCAGCCAAAGACGGCCTGGCAGCGCAAGGGCTAGACTCAACTGCGTTCCGATCAAGCAATGTCACATGCTATTGCAGGCATGGTCTCCACAATTTTGCGTCATCAGACTGGCAAGCAGTGTGTCGAGTTCAGGCGCCGGGAAAAGCCTGTGCCTCTGCCTGTACTGGATGAGCCTTGCGTCTACTGTACTGCAGGGCTCCGCATGCATGCTGCGCTTACATGTCGGCAACTAACTGCACTCCGAGCGCGGACGAGGGTCCATGAGATCAGGTCTGCAGCATAAAGGGCGTGCAACGGCTCTTTTATGAGCCACGGTGTAATTACTGCACAAGTCATGCAAACGAGCAGCCGAAAGCGCATCAGCTCACAAAGGCATCTGCGTTGAGTTTCCAAGCGCCTTCCTTCGACACCGCAGCCTTGAACTTGCCGGCGCCCTTGGACATGATCCCCGCCTTCGTTGCGGCCATGCGAGCATTGGGCTCGGAGACGCCCAGGAACTGGGCCAGCGCCTTGATGAAGTCCGAGTACTTGGAAGCGTGGATCTGCAGGTCCGCCTTGGTGCAGTGCATCTCCAGGAATAACTCCACGGTCGCGCCTCCATCGGTGCCATCTCCTGCTCCAACTCCCGCATGTCGGAGGGCCGGGGGAGGATCTCTGTGCCGGGGTTGTAGGCGCTGTCGAGGGTGTCCACCAGGTTCTCGGCCAGGTACAGCAGGAACTTGTTGTAGCGCCCCGCCGTGATCTTCGGCTTGAGGGTGTCGTCGGCCTTCTGATCGGTGAGCATCATCGGCTGCTTCACGAACTTGCCACGGGTCTGCCATACCCTTACGGGGAGGGGATTAGTCGAATTCTTCAATACTCTTCAACAAGGATCCGGGATCCTCATGATTTTGCAAAACCAAATCTCGGCCGGGCAGCTTCACCAGGACATCTGCATGCGGATAGTGCTCAGAACTTCTGTCCTCCCCAGATGGAGCTTACAGGTCGGCTACAAGGCTCCTGAGCCTTCGCGTGGGCTCACTAAGTTACCGCGTCACCTGAGCTTTGCGTATCCTGATGACAGGGCGCGGACAAACAAGGGGTAGCTCGGTGAAACTTCTGGACGGCATTGTGGTATAGTGGCGCGTAGGCCTTTCCAAAACAAACACCGTGGCCAACGGCTGTAGTCTTCGGGTATGCTTGATACAAACGGAACTGTAGTGTAAGAAACATTAACGAGTTGGATTATGGTACACCAAAAAGGTTCAAGGTTACCTGCTGGACTACTAGGTTCAACTCACACCATCAAGGACCGGTTCCTATCCCAGTAGTTGTTCCACATGACGGCAAACCTCATGCGGAACAATCCTCAACTTCGTTGCAGTAATAGGCCTTGCTGTCTGAATCTTATCCCGCAAGTGGTGCGCGAAGTCCTCCAGGTACCTGGTCCCGTTTGGCTCCGAGGTCTAGAGTTGAAAGTCAAGAGTCAGAAGCGCAGCTGTCCGAACTTACTACCAGGTCAGCACTTGAAGCCGAAGAACTTCCACCTACAAGTCCCTCCTAGCAGGCATGCATGGAAATATCCGCCATCATGGTACGAGCCTTACAAAATTGTGACCAACCGTGATTAGGGAAAGCCAGTACACAGCAGCCCCACCCAATTATTGCGACATCACCAAGCCCCATAAAAGAGTTGGCTGAGAACACAGAGCTTATGGCTTAGGGTTGCTGCGGTGTCTCAAGAATGTCAGGACCCAGGCGCTAAGGCTAAGACTCCTCAACCAATTTCTTATGCCCTCGTTCGCGACGTTCAGACTACATCTCAAACGGTGGACATGCAGTCACCTCCCCCTAACATTAAAACCCCCCTCCTCCCTGTCGTTAAATCTTCCCAAGATATTATCATATACCAGAGGGGAACACTTAAAGTTAGGGGGGAGGGGGTTTTAATATCAGGGGGAAGGGATTAGTCGAATTCTTCAATAATCTTCAAGCAGGATCCAGGATCCTCATGATTTTGCAAAGCCAAATCTCGGCCGGGCAGCTTCACCAGGACATCTGCATGCGGATAAAGCTCAGAACTTCTTGCCTCCAAGTGGAGCTAACAGGACGGCTACGAGGCTGCTGAGCTTTCACGTGGGCTCACTGGGTTATCCAGCATGTCGCACAATGAGTCCTTTTAGAGGCGCCATCTCCAACAGCCTCTATCTCTAGCTGTTAGCTTGTCGAGACGCACTAGATCTGCTGCGGGCCAATGGCCTGGTACTTTGTATACTCCTCAAGTCGGAGCAGGACAATTCCTGTGGTGGTTTCCGGTGTTTACCGTTTGGGGTTGACGGATAGGGTTAAGGTGTCCAGGTTTGAGAAGATGTCAGGTTACCTGTAGAGATGCTCCCCTCGTTTCCTGTCATTATCTTTTTCATCGTTGATGGAAGCATCATGGTGAGGGGGCCACACACTCACACACACTCACCAAAAAAACCACAAAAACCACGCACGAACAAACACATAATGCCTTGTCAATTCTACCAGCTTCTGATAAACAACATGCACAACCTGCATGGACAGCCGGGGCGCGGTGACTGGTGAAATCCCCACATCACCTACGCAAGCGCAGGACAAGCTCCCCTCTTGCACTCGAGCAAAAGAGCATCCTTCAGGAGGGCCCTCGAACTTAGCTGGAAAGCCTTTCGGAAACTCTCGGGAACCTTTCGCAGTTCTTGCAAGTTGTAGAAGCCAAGCCCGCTTGCTCTTCATGAAGCTAGGCCCAGCTCGGGCAACCCGCGCTACAGCTCAAACTGGGCAAACTGCTCATCTCTAAGCTTTGGCCTGCAGCACCCCATATGAGCCGCTGTCCGAACTTATTAGATGTCCGCGAAAAAAACCTTACAGCAACAGCTCTAGAAACCCCTCACATGGGAGTTTTGGTTGGAGCTCATATTGCGAGTCTATGCATCCCCTGCTAATGGGCATGTTAACAGCGAAGGCCATTCGGATAAATTCCCAGGATTGAGGTTCCTGATCTTCAACAACGCAGGACGCTCAGGGTGGAGGGTTTAGGGTTTAGGGTTTAGGATTTCGGGTTTCGGGTTTAGGGTTTGGGGTTTAGGGTCAGTGTGACTACATGCTTGAACAAACCTTGAAGAAGAGGAAAAACAAGGAAGCCGCGCCTTACGCCGCCGCGGAATGGTTGGCGAATTTGAAAACGCGGGGTTTTGGCAACAACGCATTCTCCAAAAACTTTGGTTTCTTGCAAGTTCAGGCGCTACACCGCTTCGCAGAGGAAAGATGCAAAATTATTCGTCTTGTCCATGTGTTGTGATGTCACACCGACGGAGAAGGCGCAGTCAAACAGTGGTCTTCGGCGCGCTTGGTACTCAGAGTTTTATGTAGATCACGAGTCTCCAGCGCTGCCGCCCCCCGAATCCAGTTCAGTTTCTTAGGACGTAGTTGAACGGAAAAAAATGTGATCAAGAGCAACAGACGGTAACAGACGGTACGAGATTGTCGTTCCTGACTGAATGTGGCACTCACATTAGAAGGATCAACCAGAAGAGCAGCCTTAGCAAAGCAACCTTAGCCAAAATGCTGAAGACCGGCACTGCAGGGAGCTGTTTCCATGTTTGTACGTTAGCTTCAGGAAAAGGGAGATCAGGCATTGTTCGCTGGGATAGCTTGTTGTTTCAGCGGTCCAGACTATTTATCTTAAATCGAACTGACATTCTAAGTATTCTTAGTTAAACACCGAAAGGTGCCGGTCGCATGACAGAGGACTATCCACCCAACCGCAACTGCAGAGTTCATCGCGCTTAGCTGCGAGCCTGGAGGATTCATCCATCTTCCCGCCTCGGGCTCTGCTGCAGACCTCAGGGCTCATGGCATTCAGCGTCGGAGAATGCAGCTTCAAGGTGACCTACATCGTAGGGCTCCTCATGCGAAGACATGCATGCAAGTAACAATGAAACCCCCCAGCCACCACCACCTAATCATAAATATTGACTTTTGGGTTCTACTGAGGATTTGTATCATTGGATGGTGGCTGCGGGTTGTTGTTCTGATCTTTTCTGCAGCGCTGCTTCGCTCTGCCATCCTGTCGCTGTTGCCGCTCATTCTGCATCAGCGTCAACAAGACCTGAGAGGCCTGAGGCCATTGGTTTTTGCAGGATGCACGTCGGAAGGCTGACCACCTTTTCGAACACCGTAAATGACTGGTTGCCCTGTTTGTGCTCTGATTTCTTTTTTGCGTTTTCAAACAGGCTGTACAACGGAGTGCTCAGCTGGGTAAGAAGCCACTTTGTGAAGTCGCCGCCATCGTCAAGCTCACCGGCTTCCATCAAAGGTTGGGCCGCGGCAAAGACGATGAGATTCGAAGCAGCTAATCTGTCATTGTCACGATTGAAGGCCTGCTTGTGAAGCTCACACCAGGCTCCCGAATAGCAGCTGTCAGCAATGACAACAATCAGTTTTCCAAAAGGAACTGCATAGAGGCGACTGAGTTCCAAGAGTTCCTGGAAGCACAGGGCCTCATCTTCAGTCACCAACCAGGCACCCGTTCCTTTCTGCCCATGTCCGGAGTAGTACACAACGTACACATCCACGTCCTCAGGGACGAGGAGCTGGCAAGGAAAGCAAAGTTACTGCATCAACTGAAGACACCAAACTAAGAGAATTTCTTGGGTTGTCCCTTCACGCAGATCGCCCTCATGGGCCCCAACTTGGCAATTTCACTTGCAGCCCCTTCGAAGGTTAGCCCATTTGGAGAGGTTGATGCTTTCATAAACTAGGTAGGGGCCTGGCAGGGTTACGTGCACAAAGTAGAAGTTGATACTGTCTGCCTCCACCAACAACTGAAACTGCACTGAGCGCAGCATGGTGGTCTTGTGGATCTTCTCCAAGACAAAGTCTGAGCCTTGGCCTGGCTGATTGCCTGGGTTGCTGTTAAGAAACTTGAATTAAGTTACTATTTTGAGGAACCCTGATATTTATTATATATCCCGAGTATGGTATCTTAGCTTAAGTTCCTTAACAGCAACCCAGTTGCGTGCGAATGATTCGTCCATAATAGTCCGACCTGGCAATCTTGCGCCGCCCTCCCGAAAGGCCTTCTGGATATTGAGACAATCTTGCAGAGCTCCACGCAGGGGACCCTTGGTAGCCTCGTGTCCAGCCGAAGTCCTGCATCTAAACCCCTGGTTGAGAACCTTCTCGCTCAAGTCTCCTGGGGAGGAGATCACCGCCAAATATGTTGGCAGCATTCCTCCAGAGCACAGGCCATGATCCATCAGCATCTTCCGAGAGAGCCTTGCCTTTCGCGCCATGTCTTCTGCAGGCTGCTGTCTGCAGTCAACGCAAACATCATAATTGCACAAGCTGCATGTGAACGTAAATTGGCCGCGTACGAGTTGCGCGTCGCAAAAATGACAGATCTTTGTTCGCTCCTCCAACTCCGGCAGCTTCACCTGCATAAGATGATGTCCACTATGACACCATCTCGTAGTTGGCGGTATGATCGTATACACATAATTGCGAGGAACAACATTCTGCCTCAAAACGGGCTCCGCAGTTGAGGCAAAAGTGCTCCGGATACCACGCCAAAAAGGCTCAGGCCTTGAAAACTCAGAAGGCTCGGAAGGTTCAGAAAGCAGGGAGCGTTCCAAGCCAAATGCTTGGACCCGGTTGGCGCACTCAACCCGCACCATTCCGCCTGCCAGCGTCTCGGAAATCTCTTCACAACGTTTACGAGCGAGGACATCTTTCCGGTTGTTCTCCTTAACATGTTCATACAACTCAGGCAACACATCAGGCTTGACTGTCAGCACATCCGGGGCGTCTGCAGCAACACATGACTTGCCACACAGTTCTGCCGAAGCCACTTCCCAGACTGATGGGTTGTACATTCCAAGAGCGGAATCCCTCTGGCGGGATGTTGCCGGGCATGTACTCCACTCTAGCAATACATGTGTCCCAGTCTCACTGATGTCAAGAACTTTCGCAACATGGCGCTGATCACTTCCGGGATAGTAAGCCGAAACTTGCATGTCCACCTTGATGTCTGTCTTTGTTCTCGGAACAGCGTCGGGCAGTTTGAAGTTTGCGCCTCCTACAGCACTATGCATCCGCTGCTTGCCATATAGACCTGGAAAACTAAAGCCTGGACCAATGATGTCAGCCATTTTCACATCTCCCGAAAGAGCTGGAAGCACACAAGTGTCCTCGAAAGTTGCGTACAGAAAGGTGCTGGTGACGCAGGCCATCTGCGGCAAATCGGGACAGCCAAAGTTGCGGAATCTGTCCGTTGGAACTTGCAGGGAGTTTGAGGTGCTTGAACATATGGCTGCAGTGAGCATCGCAAACTTGCGTGTTGCGGCCAAGGAAACACACCAGCAAACACGACTGCATGCAGTCCCGCTGTCAAAGATGGGCAAAGGTGCACAGGGCAGTGACTACACGGTACTAAAGCAGAACATGTGGTTGTCTGTCAGGAATGTTTTCAGCCAGAACATGCCAGAGCACAAGTCTTAGGCAGTGCTAAGGCCTACCTATTGCAGCGGTTTCAGAATCGGAATGCCCTGAGCAACTTCATAGCCTCTGCCATAGGTGTGCACATACTGCACTTTCCCAAATCATGGAAGAAGTTTGTTTTCCAGAGCAATCGTAGGCTCATAAGCCGCCTCTTGAGCGTTGCCAGCACCAATTGCCAAAGCCCACATTGCGTCAAGATTGTCCTGCACAAGGAGCCCGGTCAGCTTCAGTCAAGAATCTCGGAGAGAACCGATTCTCGCGTGGCTCCAGGCTTCCGAATCTCAATCCACAGCACGTCCAAGATGCCATTGCCTTCTGGAGATCGTTTCTGACGCCCATCCCGATGACATTCAAAAATGGCATCCATTAAATCTTTGAGTTTGTGACTGAAAGCCATAACCCCGGTTCGCTCGTTTCGTAGGCTGGCCACACCCTTGACAAGTTCGATGAGTTTCTCCGAATCTGCCGTGGACATGTTGCACGATCGAGCATACTTTGCCGCCTCCCGCCCGTAATCAGTTTCTATCGCAAGCACCTGAATGGTCTCATTTCCAATTATCACATCGTTGTCACCCACGTTCCTCCCGCTGATGAGAACCCTCAGGTAGGCTGGGAAGTAGTCAAACCCCTCTTTGGAGATTCTGGTCGCTGCCTTTTCTTTAAAGACACCGCACCGACATGGGGTTTCACATTCCACAACGAACTCCTCCGGCTGCGATTGAGGGGCCATGACCGGAAGGGTGAATTCTGGGTCCGAAAAGAAAGTTACACTCACTGCGATTTCAGTTGGCCTTCCTCTGATCTGAACTTCGCCTGGCTCTGGATCTGGCTCGCGCGCCATTCCGTTCATTGCTGCAAAATGCAAGCGATGGAGCAAAGGCTGCTACAACTTAACAACGCCAAGCCTTCTGAAGACATTTCTTTGCGAAGCAACATTCACAGAACATCACTAGCTTTGAAACAGTAGCTTGAGGCCAAAGGTGTGATGGTAAGCACATTGCTCAAGTCTTCAATTCACCAAGGAAGCTTCGTAGCTCGGTCAGTTGCAACACCACGCTCCAAACACCAAGCCTCAGGCTCCTGCGCTGAGTGAATGCGTGCCGCGGTGCCACGGACAACGGGCCTTAGGATGAGTGGAGAAAACACTTCTTGAAAGTTCATGGCACTTAGTAACTAGCTAGAATTGGACTTATAATCCTACTAATAATCCCCCTACCTGGCCTAATAGCCCAATATTCTTTACCAAGGTTATAAGTCACATTCGAACCCCATTTAAATCGCTAGTAAGTCCAATGAACCTCCAAGTCTTCTCTCCAACATGTCTTCTCCCACAAGGCGTTTTTCGACAAACTTCGGATAGGAATGAGGGCTAAACCTAAATTCAGACACTCTCTTCACTTTGTTGCGTTCAACTCTGCCCCTTCTGAAAAGCAATATCCCCTTCACCTCACATACCTGGGGCACACCCGGTGTGCCCAAAGTCAAACGAGACCACTATGAGGAGCAGAAATGGCATGCTTTCTCTCACGCACAGTGCTTGAGTGCTCTGGACAGTAACCCGAAACTTGCGTCGAAACATGTCGATGACGCGGCGCACGCCACGCCGGGTAGGACCTTCGAGGTCTGGGGTTGAGCTTTCTTTCCGTGTTTCTAGATTCCGCGGCATGTTTAGGTCCTGCAACCTTCCGATGAGACGGACTAAGATGCATTATTTCATCGTACAAGCATGCAGTGCTCAACAAAGGCAAGCCCCAAACTGCAGATGTGGGTCTTTTCAACTTGGCTTGGACTTCAGGAAAGGCAGGCAATGCTTCAGAGTTTGAGGTTTGGGGCTGTCTAAGTTAGAGTCCTCTGGTTTCTGACGCATCCTCATGCGACTCACCTTCAAAAAGTAATCAACCCTGACACTAAACACCTTGCGCAACTTTTGTCGTATCCACTACGCTCCCAGCTTCGGGTCCTAGTTTTTCGGGTTCATACGCGAGCATCCGCACTGGACCCTTTTCAGGGCCTCTCCGCAGTAGAATCACCGTGTTTCACTCCATCATATGTTTAGACTGGGAGCAGCGGCGCTGGGTATATCGAGAAGAGCTGATCAATAAGGAACCACACAGACACCTGAGTCCAAGATTCTGAAAGCTTTGCATCAAGAGGACTTTGTAACCGGAGTGTCCCTGAACCCAGAAAGCTTACTAGCTGGCAGCCTACTTCTCACAGCAAAGCTAGACTCTAGGCTTTCGTTGGAACCAAAACCTTTCTTTTGCAGCAACTCATAGAAGCTCTTTTTCTTCAGAAAACAAAACAGAAGTCCAAATGCAACCTTCACCTACATGTCCAGAGCAGAGGAAATATTTGTTAACCTCTGGGCTTATATACAGATTATCGTACACCAAAAAGGTTCAAGGTTACCTACTGGACTACTAGATTAACTCACAAGATCAAAGACCGGTTTCTATTGCCATGACGGCAGACCTCCTGCGGACAATCCTCAACTTCGATGCGCAACAGGTTTTGCTGTACTGCATCTTATTTCGCAAGTTGCACGCAAAGTCCTCTAGGACCTGATCCCGTCTGACTTCTAAATCTTTAGTTGAAAGTCCAGAAGCGCACGTGCAAGACCGAACTCAGAGTTTTTGCATACCGGGCAAGCACTTGAAGTCCAAGAACTTCCACCTACAAGTCCATTCTAGCATTCATGCATGGAAATATCCGTCATAACCATGATAAGGGAAAGCCAACACACAGGGATTCCACCCAGCTATTGTGATATTACCAAGTTCCATAAAGAGTTGGTTGTGAACACACGAATTTCTCAGTCTGGCACTTGACATGACCTAGTACCACCCGACGCACCCTTTTAAACTCTAACCCTAAACTCTGGCATTCAGAGCTTATGGTTTAGGGTTGCTGCGGTTTCTCAAGAATGTCAGTACTCTCTCCTATGTAGCAACCCCCAGATCCCTCCGAAGGCTACTTAGAATCAGCAGGAATGAAGATGAATCGCATCTCTTCTGTCGGCAGCCTCTCTTATAGAAGCATCCCCAGCCCCCCCCCCGAAGGCTGTCTACAGGCAGCAGGAATGAAGTTTTATTCCTTTCAATCTTTCATTGGAAAAATGAAAACCCTGCAGAAAGGCAGCTCTGAAGAATCTGAACAAGCCGAAAATGCTTTTTAGGCCACTTTTGGGGGCGAGCGTTCCGTCGAAAATGCCCCGGCGTCGCGGTTCTGGGGCCCGGGTAGGAGGGGGGGGGTGGTCCCCCAGTTAGGGGGGGCTGGGATGATGGGGAGTGGGCTCCAGTTCGGGGGGTACGGAACGCTCGCCCCCAAAAGTGGCCTAAAAGCATTTTCGGCTTGTTCGGATTTGTGGCCCTGTTCAGAGCTGCCTTTCTGCAGGGTTTTCATTTTTCCAATGAAAGATTGAAAGGAATAAAACTTCATTCCTGCTGCCTGTAGACAGCCTTCGGGGGGGGGCTGGGGATGCTTCTATAAGAGAGAGGGAGGTTGATGGATTTGATGGGGTTGATGGGGTTGATGGCCGCCTCGGCCCCCTCGAGAATTGCCCCGGCCCTGCTGCATGTCGAAAGTGACCTTGAGATCGGTTATGGACACGGTCTATGCGGAGTTAGATGGATTAGATGGATTTGATGGCCCCCCCCGGAGGGCTTGGCATAAAAAAAAATCTCATGAGGTGATCTGCATGGGGCCAATCCTGGAG